TATCTGATCATCCGTGATGTGTACATTCTGTTTTGCTAGGTGTATTGCTTCGTCCAGTATGTTTTCTGTGATGGAGGCAGAAGTTTATAATATCGAACTGGAGGAAGGTTGCTCTGCAACTGCAAATGTATCGTAATTGTAGATGATTTGAGTGAGTTTACGAGCTACCATACTTTAGTAATCACTATTAGTACAACATGGCGTTTCCAAATTTCTAGCGGAGTAAATTGCGTCATGTTGCTTTTTTCTCACAGATGGTTCCCAACTGACTCTAATATATTGTGCAGTGAACAAAATCAAAAAAATAACAACGCGCATGCGCGAAATTAAAAATATAAAATGACGACAAGTTACTCCCTTGCACAGTATATATATATATATATATATATATATATATATATATATATATATATATATATATATATATATATATAATCGGAATAACCCCAAGCAAGGCAGTAATGGCACTAAAACACATGGCGTTACAGGGTGTCAAACAATTAGGAACAGAAACATTAATAATGAGCAGAAAGAGAAGAGCGTAATCAGGCGGACAGTAGGTAGCGATTAATATTGCATTTAAATTTTTGCAGATTAAAGTTGGTTGGAAAGCATGGTGCCAGAAGGGAGTTCCACAAGCTGGAGTGCGAGAGAAGAAACTGTTAGCATATGATTAACGACTACATCTCACCAGCTCAACTATAAATTGATGAGATCTCGACGCCAGTCTAGTGCAGCGCTTAACATTAAAAACTCTATATACCATGACGAAGAGCCCATTCGAACAATTACTATGAAGGTATTTATAGAAAATACTTAGAGAGGCAATCTTACGATGGTGGAAAAGTGACTGGAGCTGAGCTGCCAGATCCGGACCAATAATATTGCAGATTTTTCTTTGAGTCTTATCAAGGAGTTTCAGGAGCACCAGGCCCTATGTGACAGCAATATCCTAAGCCTGGCTGTATGGTAGACTTATAGATATGAAAGATAGATTCTGGAGAGAAAAATTGTCTTGCCTGGCATAGTGAACCAACTTTCTTAGCACCTGACCTAGCAATTGATTCAATATAGTCTTTCAACTGCAGATCAGCAGAGAATGTGAGCCCGGGGAGGTGCAATGAGTCACTTTCCTGGAGGATAGCATCAGTCATGCTGATGGAACACAGCAAGGAGTTTTTCATATGATTAATGGAGAGAAGAGATGATCAGATAAAATAATCGAACACTGCTGTACATCTCTGCTATTCCACAACAACGAACCATGGTAAAAAATAGCTCTGTTCGATGTAACAATGGGAAGCTATGACGCAGCTTTGCCGGCGAAGTGGTAGATATTCTTATTCTTTCATACCTAGCCAGAATATTAGAAAAAAAAAAGGAGGTGTAAAAATTAACACGCCATCTTTTGCGCCAGCTAACTACGGACTTGAAGTCGTTTTAGACATCGGCTGCCATTTTGACCAATTCAGGCTGATAAGTCTTACTGTTGAGGCAGGAGTTAATTATTATATCGTTGGAGAGAGAAAGGTCATTAATGAAAATTAAATATAGATTAGGACCAAGAATGGAGCCCTGGTGGATACCTGCGTTAGTATGAAAGAATCCAGACGAGTGGCCGTTCAGGATAACTTTCATTTCAAGATTTGACAGAAAGAATGTATCAGTTCAAAAGAGTGTATAAAGACACCGTAACTTTTCAGCTTGTAGAGAAGAGCTGAATTCCATACCCTGACAAAGGCTTTCGAAATGTCCAGTATAACAACCCGTGATTCACCGTTTTTACCTAGAGCATGATAAAGTCTTTCCGCAAATATTGTCAGGGCATCAGCTGGAGAAATGAAAGCCATATTGTTCTCGGAAATATGTTTATCTAAAAATAAATACGCTAAAAATTCCCTTTCATCCCTGCCGAAGTCTTAGTGGTAGAATTTCAGTTGTGTTTCGATCCTAGTTAGAGGCAACCAGATGTCTAGCCACACTGAAGATCTGTGAAACAGCGAAACAGTCTATGGATGACCTTATATACGCTCCTGAAAAATTAATTTCAGTTGAGCTCTCAGGGGAAGAGGTGTGGGTTTGTAAACGGTGACTATTATGGCTGATATAGCGAGACTCTTCGGCAAAAAGCGAATTGAGTCACTGTCGGTCACTGTGTGTGTTTATCTAAAAGTCAATAGGCTAAAAAAATTCACCTTCATCCCTGCCGTACGCCGACGGCATAGTGGTAGAATCTCCGGCTGACACCAATTCAACTGCAACGGATCCCAACCAAAATAAATCGACATGATATTTCTAAATTATTTTACCAAACCTGTTTGAATGAAAATATGCTGGCTACACACACACACACATATATATATATATATATATATATATATATATATATATACCAAAAGAAATAATAGATTTCTTTTGAATCCGGCATTTTTATTACTTCAAGCATTATTGTAGTCAAACGTTATTATTACGCAGTTATTGTAGCGTCCACTATAACATTTGAATTAATATACTTACTTATATATATATATATATATATATATATATATATATATGTGTGTGTGTGTGTGTGTGTGTGTGTGTGTTTTTGTACTGCACATATTCATAGCCATTAATTTATACTAATATTCCTACAAACGTACATGTTTTTACACATGATTTCTTCCCGTAAATCTTTTTCAGTTATTTCTGATTTTTCAATGACCTTTTCACCTTTCTCCTTCTTTCCATTCTCATTCCGTTTTGGCATCACTCTGCAAATTACACCACGCCAAACTCTTCAGCTTCAAAATTGATGCCGACCGTCTCCGTTCCTGACACTCCTCGTGGATAGAAGCACAAGGATTTCTATTTCTGGGCACGAAAACTAGGCAGAACGCCGATTGCTTCTCTCTCCCCCTCTGATCAACCGCCCTTGCTACGAGAAACTTGGCTCCGTTTCCCCTTTGAGAAACATTTGATCCGCCTAGCGACATGTTCCTTTCTGAAGAGTTATTATGCAGACAGGACAGTTTCTCGATGAGAAAACCTGTACGCCGTTGTGCAAAATTGAAGAAAGATGAAACGGAATCATTTTTCTTTTTCTCTTTTCGTTCTTCTGCTATAGGCGACAGATATCAGAACGTCAGCAACTTTTGTTTTTTCTGGGACAATTGCAGTTTAATTTTTTCTAGGAACCTTTTCGACATTTCAGTATCTGATCTATACACACACTTATACATGCATGCACACACACACACAAACATATATAAATTAAATAAACATAAAATAATAGTACTAACTATTAATACTAGCAAATAACATGCGCAAAATTATAAAATTTTAAGCATATCAAATTTAATAGATTTTCTCCTAATAAATCACACAATGTTAGACTAGGACGATAATTATTATTAAGTATATTAACTAATTCGGTGTAATAACGTTCAATACTTATCGAAGGCCGACTCACAGTTTCATAATTTTTCAATAGCCATTTTTAACCCGCTACAAAAATGAATAAAGAGCTCAATATTAGACTAAAGCAATATTTATCATTAAATTAGAATCAATTCTTATCGAAGGCCAATTCAGAGGTTCGTAATTTTTCAATCAATTATCAAGATTTTCTTCCCGATAGAAAAATATCAGTCAGTCTTTGATAAGTATTGAATGTTATATCTAATTTAATAATGACAATATATGAGGGTGGTGTAGCGGATAGCGACTCAAATTGAGGAATCGGAGAACCGAGTTCGAATTCCAGTCGAATCTATCACATTCACCTACGAGATAATACCCCTGAGAATCGTCGTCTTCTCCCTTCACCAGGACTGGGTTCTACAGCCTTGGATGTCAACGGGTCTAGGAGAAGGACAAAGCCTGCGGAAGGTCGTTTAGGGACATAGTGCACCAGGTCTCTGTATTCGGCCCTTCAAAAAGTGTAGTTGATTCTGCACAAAGCCTATATATATATGTGTGTGTTTGTGTTGTCTGTGTAATAATTTCAATTTAAATAATATATATTTGTAAAAAGTCAATATGAATAAAAACAAAAGGAAACCCGTTTCGTCCCCTGACAGAAGGGAAAATAAATGTAAAGATTTTATTTCGCAACGTGTTTATAATCAGCGGGAAAATATGTTATGTTTACAAAATTTAATGATTTAAAATATTTATACACGCACACACACATACATACATACATACATACACACACACATATATATATATATATATATATATATATATATATATATATATATGTATGCATGGAAATATGTAAACTCTGTTTTGAGGAGTCTTCATTCATTATTTATTATTATTAATGTTTTATTTCAAAACATTTAGTATGAGTTTTAAAAAATCTTGAAACCCCTGCTAAAGATCGAACTCAGGACTAGGCAGATTTTTTTCAGGTGAAAGCTTCCTAACGATCGTTGCACATATATAACAGTACGGACAATAGTAAGCTGATGAACCTCGAAGATATTATATGCTTGCGCGCGTGTTTGTGCATGAGTATGTACGTGTGCGTTGTGTCGTGGCTATGATATAACTTAAAATATTAACTACAATGATAACTTATAATGATCATTTATAATTATCATGCAAAGTACACAGCCATTTAATAATGATGAAACCAAAGGCCTGGCTCAATCTCCTTCAGAATACACAGATTCGGATTTCACACACTTATCTTTGTGTTCCATTCGTTTGTCAAAGATCCGCGAAATCCATTTTCGATATCGCCATCAGTTGTCTTATTGCGTTCACTTTAAAGGCACCTACGGAATTTCAAAAACACTTTAAAAATTGGGCAAAGCCAGAGGTCACAAAGATAATAATGTGCTAACGAGCAAAGGGAAATATTATACACTAAACGTAAAGAATTTACATGTTGGATATGAAGATCATACTATAGACTCCTATTAGAGTATATCACACATGCGCAGTAAGATCCTTTCGGACAGTTTGCCAATTTCCTTCAAGACAGTACAACTGGTTACGTAAATACTTACAAAAGAATTAGATAGATAGATAGATAGATAGATAGATAGATAGATAGATAGATAGATAGATAATGTTCGGCTACTGGTTTTTCGAGCACACCAGTTTGCTAGGACGACAAGCCAATCCCTGCTGCAAGCGCCTACTCAGGCACATTTTATTTTTAACATGCGCAAAGCCCACCTGTGATTTGTACTGCAGCTACAATGAACTGGCTTTAGTTACTGGGCGACATAATCATCTATTTGCGGAACACCAGTAAGATGAAACCTTCTGTTACGATGATTTGTGTTTTCGTGCTAGAACAATCATCGATGGCTTCCGAACAGTTCCATAACCAATTCCACGTGATTACGGTTTTAAATATTGCCCTTCTCCTATTCTAGTGTTAATGAACCTGCCCTGCTATTTAACCCATAGGTATGGGGAGAAAAGAAGTATTCATACCTTTCGCAAGGATATTTACGTGTAAGTGAATATATCAAACTTGACTGGAATTAGAACTCGGCTCTCCTATTTCTCATTTTGAAGCACTATCCATTGCACCACCCGCACATCCATCAATCAATACACACACCAATACAAGCTTATGAAGAAATTTAGATAGATAGATCTTAAATTGACTTATGGCGCATAATAGTGGAGTATTCAGATAGGTTCAAACTCATGAGAATGTCTATGTCGTTAACCATTGCTCCTAGAGGGACGCATTGTGCTTGTATATATAAATATGTGTGTGTCTTGTCCTGCCACTCTCATTGTTAGTCTGGAAAACGGTACACTAATATAGGGAATCAAAGAATTTTAGGCTTTTTATGGCCTTTATTTTGAGCCATTTTACCTCAAGAGATCAATCGTCCCTCTCCATATAAAACCCGACACCGGAAGCCAGTCATTACTCTGAGTAGTTGGATGCGAGGGTCTCGACGAGTGGGGGCATCTAAACGCCGACACGCCTATGAACAGAGACAGACGGCCAACTGCTTTCAGTATGCGACTGTCTCTAAAAATAAATGTAAGACCAGTCGATTGATCGATGTCCGGAGTTTTAAAAAAACTGCCTATAGAATTGTTGGTATGGATGAAAAGAAAGACTATGTAAGTCCGCCAGTGAGTCTGTGAAAAAGAAGCATTTATATTTTTCACCTAATATTTCTCAGCATAATCTTCTTTCTCAATGTATGTAATTCTATGGGAAATATAATCACATGACATGAATACACTGTGAAAATGCCAATCAAATAATTTATTAATCCACCATCGCTTATATATATATATATATATGATAGAAATTGAACCGGCTTCTAATGCTCTAGAGTGAGCGGCTTGGTGATAGTAGTCGTGGCTCCAGGAGGCACAGTCCTATGGTTACAGAGAACTCGGTAAGAGTTCCACTACGGAATATGTGATCGAGCGACGCTATATTGAGTCTGATTTGCAATCTCTTCGTCACCGGGATGTTTGCTTGACAACCTAATTGTAAGGGTTTCAATTCTCGGTGGTGGATGCGCACTGATGAGTCCCAAATATAGGACGAAATTGCCGTCCAGTGCTTTCTGCATTCTGTTGAGGTTTCTTCTACACTCGATGAATTACTTAATATATATATATATATATATATATATATATATATATATATATATATATATATATATATATAATTATTATTGGGAACAGGTTTTTAGGTATGACGATAAACTACATCTGGCAAAAAGGCTTCTGATTAAGATATTGGAGGTTTTGTGTAGTGTAGAATCACCTCATAATTGGTGTTGTTGTCAGGTCCATCCTAACCCGAAGTGCCCCAGCTATGGACCCATTGTGAACCCCGAAATAAAAACAAATCACAATGAAAGTATAAAAATATGAAAGTATATTTATATTAAAAGTACCAGCAATACATTTTTATATAAAAAGATACCAGTAATACATATCTATACTAAAATTACCAACAATACACATTTAAAGTAAAATGATTAGCAATACATTTTATAACAGAAATACCAACGATACATTTTATTTGTAGTTGAAAGCATACAATTGTGTTCAAAATGTATTTAGTTAAAGCCGTAAAAATGTGTTCAAATTATTTAGATTTCGACATTAAATAACTCATAGAGGTGTTGATATGCCGCTAAACAATCAACCAACCAATAATCTGGGCCGCAATTATGTTTTTATGTAATTTTTATTAAAGACTACTGACAACGTACTGCGTTTAAGCTTTTTATTCAATTTTTCTTGTGTTCGTATAAATGTTTCCTTTCTGCGTGTAAAATCTGTTCAAATGTTCTATGTAACTGAGCACATTCGGCTACTCTATTCGTCATCATCAAGGATGTTTTCGTTTTTTTTTAATTGAATAATTTACATTTGTATAGCGCTATTTATTTTATTTTCCAAACACGGTCAGCATATTATAACTGTGTTCATAACTGATATTATTGAGCGTTGGCTTTTTTATTTTTTATTATTAATATTTCCATTATTTTTAGTCTTTATCACTTTATTATAGTCATATTTTATACGAATATTTTGCGGACGGAGTTTGGTAGAATTCCGTGTGTAGTATAACTGAGCTATGATCAGAGATATGTAATGTGAGTATTCTTGATAGACATGAAGTGCTATGAGTAATATAATTATTCATGAATTTCTTATGATTTGAAACGAAGTTCCTTAAGGGACATGGAAATTCATCAATAATACTGCTTCTCTGTAATTTAAATCATGCTGATGAGGTTAAATGTTTTAAATTTTTTATAGTATAGTAGATAAAAAAATTTTCTTCTCCTGGTCGTCTGGGAGTTGTGTATTTCTTAATAAAATGGGGAAAATTCATCCTGATTATAGTTAAAGTGTATTTGATATTTATAGGAAATGTTAATGCAATTGTTATTATCTGTATGTTCAGTGTTGCTGTTAGTTACTTTAGAAAAAAAATACTCTAATTTGGTTAATGCTGGTGTTGACCTTAGTGCCTACTTTCATATTCACACACGCTCTGTCCCTAATACTAAGCATAAATATAGCATACCTTAAAACTATATTTTATTATATATATATATATATATATGTGTGTGTGTGTGTGTGTGTGTGTGTGTGTGTGTGTGTGTGTGTGTGTGTGTGTGTGTGTTGCATGTCTTCGAGCAGTAATTTTTCTGTTATGCAAGTTTCATTAAAAAACAGCGAAAGTTTCGTATTGATTATTTTTTATTTATCTTTCAAAACTTCTAATTATTTTGGGGATTTCAATTGGTATATCATATCTGTGTATATTCGGTTACCACTACTAGCCATTTTTCTCTTCAGAAACAATGACCATAATTTTTTTGTCCAAGGTATTTTCTTCTCCAAAATTATTATTATAATTTTCTTTTATTGACTTGGTGCATAATTATCAGGCGTTTTTGTAGGCAAGTTATTTATTAATAAAAATTGCTGTTTTGTTTACTTTGTTTAATAAAAATATTATTTTATTTTCAGGTTATAAAATGCGTATCGATAATCATACGCTTCGGAATAATCATTTAAAAATGTTATTGTTGAACTGTTATGTTTCTTTTTTCATAATAAATATTCTTTTAAAAACGCCTGATAATTATGCACCAATCCAATACTATTTTTCTTGCGAATTTTACGCCTTCCTCTTTGTTGCTTCTTTCTTTGTTAATTCTGGATTCTTGTTAAACTCTTTATAATAAGATTTATATTTATGCGAAACGTCCAAGAACATCTTTTACATTAAGCGATAGCAAATTACCGGAGATGAGATTGCTAAAAGAATATCAGTTGTTATAAACGCCCTTCGAAAATTCATGTTTCTATAGTTTTCTCAAATCATAAGCGAGTTCTTTATATATACTTTTTTATATATATATATATTTGTTTATTGAAAGGCTAAATGTCTGCCAGTTATAATATGGTCTCTACTAAACTTCATGTTATACACCTTTCTCAAATCTTCAGTGAGAACTTTATATATACATATATATCGGGAATAAACAAGGTTGTATTTTGCCTTTTAAGTACATGTAACACGTTTAGACTCTTGAAAGTTCATAACTGCTCGGTTTCGTATCCGAAATGTAAAAATATTTCTAAAGGAATAATGGATTTTATTTATGAATGACATTTTTATTACTATTTTTTAGTATTATTTGGTTTTTAAAAAGCATAATAGAATCTTGCTTACTCACGCCGCTCTTCGTATAAATATATATGCGTGTTTGCAAAATATATAATAGTATCCGAATTAAGAGTGGCGATAGTGAGACAAAAATGGAAAAGCTTTTAAACGACGCGCTTCGCCGAAGTGACAAGTGTTATATCTGGCTTCTACAGGTTGGAATGAAAGTCAAAATTATGTGTAAGGAAAATGCGTTGGGATTTTTTGAGGCATAAGATAAGATGCATGAGTTATTTACAATGATGGTTGTTATGGAGTTGGTAGGTAGGATTTTGTGCTTGCTTTTATTATGGTTGTTGGGAGTATTATTTGTCGATTTTTATATTTTTTTGTCTGTGGATTTTGTGGGCGTTTGTCATTGTGCAGGAAATAATTCGTAGCTTGAAATTATTTTCAATGTATTTCTCTTCTTCAGGCAGAAATTGAAGGCTATAGGTTATAAGGGTCCTTTTTAAAAGATGGTTACTCCGAATTTGATTTTATTGTTTTGATGGGAGGAAAAGTGTATAAATTAGATATATACAAGTAGAAGTATAGTAGAACTATAGAAGTAGATATATAAAGTAGAAGTATATAAGATGCTTCTAAGAAGAAATATACTAAGTGTATAAGTATAAGAAGTGTATAACACATGTATAGAAGAATATAGTATAATGTATAATATATATATATATATATATATATATATATATATATATATATATATAGTAGAGATGTGTAAAAAGAACAAATATAAGAAGTATATAAATATAAGATATGTATAAAAGTGCATAGAAAGTGTAGGAAAAGTATAGAAGTCGATATATAAAGTAGTAGTGTGTAAGAAGTGTAAAAAATTGTGTATAAAAAGAGTATAACAGTTATTTTTTGTTAGTTTTCCGATAAACCTTCAGTT